GGAGGCAGAGAACTCTGTGAGTTTGAGGCCAGCCTGGTCTATGTACAGAGTGAGTCCCGGAGAGCCAGGCCTATTAGGCAGAGAAATCCTGCCTGGGGGAAGATGATGACAAAAACAATAACAACAACAAAAACTAAGTAGAGAAACAAGTCTTCCAATTTGTGTTCTGACTTCCACACGCAGGCCATGGTACACATACATGTTATGCACATACACACTCAAAAATTAAGTAAATGTAAACTATCTTGAAGGAAATATCAACATTAATAGAGATATACATTAAAATATACTGAAAGAAAACAAAGACACTCGCTGTTTGATTTGAACCATCTTAAGTTCTAGAGCACATAAAATGTGTGTCTGGGGAGCAGTAGTAAGTACCTCTTGGAGAAGTATAGGAACTAAGAAGGAAAATGTTGGAATTTTCTGGAGTGACCATAATAGCATATGAATAACACAGATGTGTGCAGTCATCAAAACAAAGCAAATATAAATTTAAGATAGACATTTCATTTTTAGCTCAAAAGAAACAAACATTAAAGTCTAGTGTTGTACATGCTCTTGTATTTTGAGAGACCTGTCTTATTTTGCAATTTATTTTTCATAAGCTGTGACAAAGCTGATATGATGAAATATGCATGATGGTTTCTAGTGTATAAACTGATGACATGACTGCTCTATGCTATGGTTAAGGGGTGACCTGTCCCACAGGTCAGTCGAATGAGACCCTAAGAGAGGGGGTGAGAATGTGGTGGGACAAGAGACGTGAAGAATGGACACAAGACAAAATTCTGATCAAGTCTTGGTTTATTGTTCTTTAGGTTACAGCTTATAAAGAGTAAGAATGGGCAATTGGGGGGAGGAACTAGTTTCAGTGAAAATCGCAAAGCAGGACATGCTCAAGGAAATTCTCAAAGCGGGAGGCAAGTTCTCATACTATACCTTGCCAAATCTAAAGGGCTGAGCAAACCTCCACAAAGCCCAAAGCAGCACCTGCGGTCCAGGGATGGAAAATCACTGTACCATGCAAGGCACAATTTGCATCATAGATTCCAAGCAGGCAGGAGTCAAACAGCCATTCTATGGCTCCACACAAAGGGGAAGTTTTATTTTGATTTGGTTTTGGTTTCTCAAGACAGGGTTTCCCTGTGTAGCCTTGGCTCTCCTGGACTTACTTTGTAGCCCAGGCTGGCCTCAAACTCTGAGATCCACCTGCCTCTGCCTCCCTGAGTGCTGGGACTACAGGCATGCAAGGCATAAGGGGAAGATTTTTAATTGTAAATACACGAGAGAGAACAGCCAGAGGCATCTGGAAGAGTTCAGAAGAGAGAAAGACTGAAAATGGACAGCAAATTGGGCATGGCCAGGGCTATCTTTGAGTGAGGGAGCAATAGGAAGGGATAGAGAGTAGAGAAAACTGAGAGAAGCAGGAGCACACACACACAGAATTAGAATATCCAAGAATAGCAGGGTTATAAAGAAAATGAGTAGCTGGGGGCTAGGGAATGTAACAGGTACTTGTGATACTGAGGGAGCCTGGTGGCCAGCATGAGCTTTGACATGCTAATAAGCATCAAGGGTAGCTATAGGTCCCTTCTGCCTAAGGTAAGGGAAATGAACTCCTTTTGGTAGTAGAGAAATAGCTTAACAAGTTCCTGAGGAATGTGGCTTTTATTTAACTACAAGAAATAGCCCAAATTCAGCTCATTTCTGCCTTTTGGAGTTTGAGGAATTGGAGTTTTCTTTGGACCTAACACCTAGATTTTTTTTTTTTTTTTAGATCTTTTTTTTAAAATAATTTTTAAATTTTATTTTAGGTGCATTAGTGTGAAGGTCAGATCCCTTGCAATTGGCATTACAGACAGTTGTGAGCTGCCATGTGGGTATTGGAAATTGAACTCAGGTCCTTTAAAAGAGCCATATCTCCACACCCCTTTAGATCAGTTTTTTTTGTTTGTTTGTTTGTTTGTTTTTTGTTTTTTTTTTTTAAACATTATCTGTTAATCCCAAAAAACAGGAGGGGAAAGACCACCAAGCCAAATCTTCATGCACAAATTAATCACAGCAAGCAAATAATCACAGCAAGCTTTTTTATTCGTGTACACAAACTGCCTCCCACTAAAATGGGGTTCGAGAGAGGTCGGCATTAGACTGAGGAAGGCAAGGTTTTTATAGCTCAGGGGTAGAGAGTTTCCAAATGGGGGATTTGCAGACAAATGGGGGGAGGGGAGTTACAGAAGCAGAACATAAGCACAACAAATTAGTCATAGCAACCTCCTGAAACAGAGACAAGGTTGCAAGTTGGTCATAACAAAAGGTCATAACAAGATAGTAATAGGTGGTCCAAATAACCTTTTGAAATACAGGTAGGGTTGCAGGATAGTTTTGAAGCATGGACAAGGTTGCCATTTCCAGAAACCAACAGTATAGAACCACTTGTATTTAAGGTTACAGGTGGGGCATCTCAATCATTGAGAAACAGAAATTTAATCACAAACAGAATGAGCTTAGTTTGTCTTTAGTATAAGATGGATTTTAAGCTAAGATGGAGCCAGGCTGCTTCACCATATCATTTGAGAACAGTAACTGAAAGGGTTAGACTAACTTTGTAACCTGTATGTCTTCTAAAGCCTATAGTTTTGAATTTTAGGTTCAGGTTAAGCTAAAGCCTCTTAGTACCTTTCCAGAGAATGGAGAAATGTGACCCTATCCGTGAGGACAGATAGAAAAAAAAGCAAGCAAGCAATGACCTTCACTCAGCAAAAAAGAACGACCAGACCCTAGCCTTCAAGATAGTGTTTCTTAGCAACCAACCCAGATTTCTTCTGAGTAGCTTTTGACCTCCAGCCAAAAGTCTGCAGCCTCTAATCTTCAAGGATGAGCTAACCATCCCCACCTTAAATTGCAGCTGCATCCACACTTGGCAGGACTGGCCAAGCTTGAGCACCTAAGACTAACCAATTATCTTACTTTATAGCTTCTTCATCCAATCCTAAATTGCCAAAACTGCAACTTCAAATTTCCCGCAATTTTTCTTTTAAAAACCTAAAGGCCTTTGTCTCCTGGTGCCACTCTTTGCTGACCAGCAGGGGTGACCCCATTGCACAATGGTTAATAAACCTCTTGCTTTTGCAACAAGTCTTGGTCTGAGGAAGTTTCTGGGAAGGGTGCGATCTTAAACTCCTGAGCTGTGAGACCCCAGGTCTTACATAACTTTTGCCATAGGAAAATCTGCCCTGCTTTGCAGGGAGTGAAACAGCATTTCATATCAGATAGCAGTTACATCTTTTCACTAGGGACAATCCAAAATGTATTCAGACTTTACTAAATCTGGGGTGTGGTGGGGAGTATTGGAGGCAGAGGAAGAATTCAAGGCCAGTCTTATCTACAGAGCAAGTTCCAGGAGAGCAAGGGTAACACAGAGAAACCCTTGATAAACCTTGATAAAATCTCATTAACCAGCCAACAACAACAAAAAAAAAACAAATGCACTTCCTGTCTGTGTGTTCCTTCTTCTAAGAGCTCCCTTTTGATCAAGAGTAAAGTTTGCCTTGTCTTGGAGATTCTGAGCTTTTTTCTCACTTAGGAAAGGTTTGTTAGATAGGAATAAGAAAACAGATTTTATGTCAATTTTGCTTCTAGCAGTGTTGTAACCTGCTTAACCTGCTTAAACTCTATAGCCCCTCCACCTTAGTTCTTAGCATAACTGTAGCTCCTCTGTTAACATCTGTTGTCCCCTTTAGCATATCAGAAGCCATTTTGTCTCCAAGTCTCCATTTTGATTATAAGGTGAAATTAAGTTCAAGTTCTCAGGCCCTAGGTGCTTGAGATCAGGAAACAATTCAATAGTTAAATACTTGCTACTTAGCATAAAATAGATGATAAATGCATGTTCTGCTTGAGTTAAAGATACATGTATGCTCTGTCAAGAGTTACAACCGCAACATCTTATGTTCCTTACTATGTTCCAGAAACATGGATAGCCCCCAAAGCTCCCCTACCCTAAATCCCAGCAAATCAGCTTGAAGGGCTTTGTCAAGCTACCTAGATGCATTATGTTTAGCTAGTCAAAATGATGTAATGCCCCCCCCCCCCCCCCCTCGCTTCCTATACCTGGTTACCTGGTTGCTTTTCGTATAAAAACCTGCCTTAGAAACAGACTGGCGTCAAAGTTTGGCTCATGAGCCCAGATTATGGCCCTGACTTTGTTCAGCTTTCAATAAACTTCCACCAGTGTGAGTCTGGTGTTCCAGTGGTCAGTATGTGGCTATTTTTGAACCCATAACAGTAGTCAAAATTCAACTACTAAACACTTTTTAGGCCCAGAATTTTCCCTTTTTCTAGAAAAGCATCCATGTCTTGAGATGTGACCACAGATAGCCCCCAGATAGCCCCGTAGTACACACCAAGTTCTGTTTGCTGAAGTTACATTGCTTCAGTAAAGTTTGCTTAGCTTCAGAAAAAAATAGTCGTTGGGGCAGGGACGCGTCATGTATAGACCCGTCATGTCTATACCGTATGCAAGCTATTGAATGTTTCTGCCCCCGCTGATAGATAAAGATTTATTTGTTTTGAAGCTTGCTGGCTGACATTCCTTGCTGGTCCTCTGACACTCCCACAGCCCCAGCGGACAGGAAGACAGTGAGTCCGGGATGGTGAAGTGTTAAGAATAAAAGCCAGGAACAGAACTGGGCGCGGTGGCGACCCAGCACTCGGGGTGGCAGAGGCATGCGTGTCTCTGTGAGTTCCAGGCCAGCCTGGTCTAGAAAGCCAGTGCAGGACAGTCAAGGATGCACAGAGAAGAAACACCTGAAAACCAAAACCAACCAACCAACCAACCAAACAAACAAACAAACAAACAAACAAAAAACAGGACCAGAAGCACCTGGAGGGTCAAAGTATCCCTTTGCTGTTCCAGATGTCAAGCTAAGCCGTAAGTGAGGAGCTTCCTGCTTCCGGGACTTGCATCCTCACGCGCAGGCGCCTGTCCGCAGGCGTTAGCCTCCTTCCCTCAGGAAGAATTCAAAGGTCGCACCGTTCCCGTTCTTCTCTCGCTGGGTGAGACCTGAGCTGTGTGCATCCAGCCGCGGGGTGTCGGCAGTGCGGGAACCTCGGCTCTGGTGAGTGTGGCGTTGGAGCGTTCATGCTAAGCGGAACTAAGAGCATCTTTCCTCGAGCGGACCGAACGGGCGGTGGTGGAAGCAACACTTCCGCCCATTGGTCAGAACATTCTTCGGTGGTTCCTGGCCCCGCCCACAGTCCACAGCCACCCAGTCAGTTGTCACTGTGCCCGCGTTTACACGTGGGTACCTGAGCTTTGGTCTAGCTCCTTACTAAATAATTCCACGGGGTCGCAGCGCTAGAGAGATAAAGGCAGGGCTAGCAGGTGTGGGGGGTTGGTTCTCTGTGAGTTCTAGGCCATCCTGGTTTGTATAGCGAGCTCTAGGCTAGCAAGGAAGACCCTTTCTCAAAAAGGAAAATCATCTCCCTGGGAAAACCAGGTCTCCCTGCTTCTTCATAGCAGTGGGTAGAGATCCCTTCATGAGTTAAATTCCTGCAGTGGCTTTCTGTGTCAGTGAGGATGGAATCCAAGGTTCTGTGCTCTTTTACTGTCCCCAGCGTACTTTCTGTTTAGCCAGCTGGTCTAACACACCCTTGACTGCTGTTTTCTGAACATGCTGTTACACTCCTTGCCTAGAAGTGATGATTTGTTAGACAGGCTTACACAGTATGACCCAGGTAGTCCACCATGGTTGTCTCACACTGAAGAGGATGAGAATTCAATAGTTGCTCAGTCTTCAAGGCTTTCTGTGTCAGCAGTGCCAGTCAGGTGCTGGAAAAGTCCAGGAGCCCAAAGAAGGTATCTCTAATATCATCAAAAGAAGGCAGTGGGAACAGAGTAGATGAATTGCCAGTGAGGCAAGCAGACCAAGAACAGTTTCCTCCTTTCCCATCTGTTTATTTGTTTCCCCACACTTAGGGTGTTTTACCACTTAAAAATAATGTGATCAACAAAATCCTTCCCCCTGGCTCAGAGCTGTATGCCTGTAATCCCAGCACTCGAGTAGGTGACTCTTTGTGAGTTTAAGGCTAGCCTGGTCTACAAAGCAAGACCAGAACAGATACACAGAGAAACCCTATCTCAAAAAAATAATAATAATAAATTTTCTCACAGAAGTGCACAGCAGCTTGCATTCTAGTTGATTCCAGCCAGATATAGTCAAGTTGACAACCAAGAAAGTTGCCTTTCCTCATAACCCTACATAGTCTCACATCCCTTGGCCAATGGTTGCTCATTATTCTTGCTGTGTCTAGAGTCTTCACCATAGTTATTCACTAAGCACTTTACAACCGTTTTTTTTTTTTAATGTCAAGAACTCTTCTCACTAAATTAAACCTCTGCGAGAGCAGAGATATTTGTTCCTTTTATTCAACATTATATTCTAAGTGTCAAGTACAATGCCTGGCACACATAAGTGTTTGGAGCATTTTCTGAATTAATGATCAGTGAAAATCATAGCAGAAACTCAAATAACTTTGTTGACAGTATTGTTTTAAAAACCAAAATCCCAAGTGTTTGATTTTACCAATAATGACTCAGGAGCCATATATTGGGGTGAAAACCTACCAGCTCAGAGAGATAGAGAAAGCACCTAGTTGATCTTCCTACTCAGCCATTGTCTCAGAAAGAAAAAGCCCTTCTACTCAAAAGGAAACAGACAAAAACCAAAAGCCAAAAGTTCCTTCTTCTCTACACCATCTTACATGCCTTTCTCTAAATGTCCCTGCCCCCCTTTCTGTTTAATCCCTGTCAGCTGGTTACTTGATTCGCCTCTTGACTTATGGTTAACTTTATTTAGCTCTTGGGTTAAAGGTGTGTGCTAGAGCTGAGCTACTCTACAACTCGAAACAGGTTTTTACAGTTCACAGCCCTGGGGTTATATATCCTGCAACAGACAGGAATAATTTTTTAAAATTTTTATTTGTTTATTTCATTTTACTTTTGACACATAATCTCACTATTTAGACCCAGACAATCTCAGTGATTTTGAGATTGTCCCTATCACTGCCTCCAAAGTACTGTAGTTAAAGGCTTGTGCTACATCTTCCTGATAACTCATCCATCCTTTTAAACACTGGCCACAGCGTCTTGACAGGGTTTCTCTGTGTAGCGTTGGCTATCCCAGAACTCACTCTGTAGACCAGGCTGGCCTTGAACTCAGAGACCTACCTGCCTCTGCATCCCGAGTGCTGGGATTAAAAGTGTGTGCCACCACTGCCTGGGTAACTACACTTTCTTACTTGCTTTTCATAGAAGCCATATGGGAAGGCATCTTTTGTATGTCTGAAGGGTATAAATAGGAAGTGGAAGTCTTCTCTCAACCTTGTTGAGCCAACTGTTAGCTATTTGGTACATTTCTTTTTTTACTTTTTTTTTTTTTTTACATGATCATGCATATGTGATCAGGTACCAAAAATATCACTGCTCCAGACCCTGTCTTTGATCCCAAACTCTATAAGATAGTAACACTAATAATTATAATAATGATACTTTATTGTTCTCTTTACTATTTTTTTCTGTTTTTCTGTCTTAAAGCAGCTATTTCATGAACATTAATAACAATGTATATTTTAATGAATTTATAACATTTGTTTTTTTTTCATTGTTGTAGTCCAAGAATTGCCACACTCAGATACTAATCTCAGTGAGATATTGATGGTTTATTGAAGTCCTGTTCCAGACTGATCAAGATCAGGGTCACAGAAAGGATTTGGGAGCCTAACTGATGCTGGTCTGTACCTAAATCGGGCTTTTTATAAGAAAAACTGCAACTAAGTAACAAACAGGTAGCAAAACTGTAACCAGGTGTAAGTAACAAGCCGCTACTAGGTAACAACCAGGTAGTAAGGGGTGGGCAGCATTATAGCACTTTAACTAGCTAGACAAAGGGTGTCTAACTGACCTTTAATTTGATTTTGCTTCTGCAGTTGGGGGACTTTACAGTGTCCTAGAAACAAAGTTTACAAAGTTTGAGAAATGAAAGCATAGAGAAGTAATCATTGGAAGGCAGACCCTGAAAACTTGAACTTAATCTCACCTGATAATCAAAATGGAGACTAAATCAAAATGGCTACAATTTTGCTATGCTAATGGCTGAAGCAAGTTTCAGCAACAACAACAACAAACATTTCTTAAACTAGTTTCTTTTTTTCTTGCTTTTCTTCTACTTCTTCTTCTTTTTTTCTTTGGAGACCAGGCTGGCCTTGAACTCATGAAGATCCACCTGGCTCTACTGGGATTACAGGTGTACACCAACAGGTTTAGCTTTTAAACTAGTTTCTTAAATTCCTTCTTTCTTTCTTTCTTTCTTTCTTTCTTTCTTTCTTTCTTTCTTTCTTTCTTTCTTT